CCCCCCTTCCTTTTTGGAACACAAAGAGTTTTGGCAACTTTAAGAAGTGTTTGGTTTTGTGAGTCTTCTTTTTCTAAGCTTTGTTCTCAGCCTTTGAGAGCATCAGTCTACCAACCACAAAGGAAAAAAAATACAGTCAATACTATCAGAGGAGCAAGCTTAGAAACTTCTGGGATTCCTTTCTTTTGGTGTTACAGACTTTTTCCCCATAACCTTGGCTTCATTTATCTGTTTGTCCTATGCCAGGGATGTAGGCTGACTACTGCCAGTAGTGGGAGAACATCAGCTCTCTTGGGCAGAGGAAAATCTTTGTCTTAAAATAGGTGACATTTGTGTGACCTGTCTTTAAAAGAAAAGTGTGAAGGACAGCTGCCACATACAGTGTTTTAGCCTTTTTTTCTTTCCTGGCACATTAGTCCAGGTTGCTCTTTTAGCAAATGCTCTCGTTTGAAGTTGAATAGGTAAGTGTATGAGATTGCTGATGCTAGGGGTAGCAGGGAAGAGTAAAGATAAAAACAGAGTTGATTAGCAGAGGTAAGCATTTCTTCTTGTGCCATTTCATATCAGCATGTGTCAGTGCTGATATGGGCAGAGTTTCACTTTGCAAGCAGTTGTGGTGGCTTTGGAGGTTACCAGCACAGCAGCTTTGTCAGCAGAGTGGCTTGTGCAGGAGTCGGGCAAAATCTACTGGTTTGATTCAGTTCACCTGATGTTTAAATGGGCCTCTAATTTTTTCCCCACAAAAATGGAAGGGAGAACTTCTGCACCACCAGGGCTTAGGCACGGTGACCTGAGACCAACCAGTTGGGGCAGACAGTGAAGAAGGGATACCCTCCCAAATTGGCTGTCGAAAAGGACGTCCACATCCCTGGGGAGCAAAGTTCTCCCCGCACAGGCAGAGATCAGCTCCCCTAAAGCAATGCAGCATGTGTACCTCCTGCAGCATGTGCTGTGGCTGCGTGGGGAGGGTCTGCTGTGCCCGTGCTGGGTACGAGCCTAGTGCAAGGAGCTGTACCTGCCACACCACAAGTGTGATGTGTAGCACTGGCCGTGTGTCAATGACTCCACTGCCTGCACTGAGCCCCTGATTCAGGTTGCCTGGAGCTAAAATGTTGCGGTTCTCAGTCTCCCATCAGCTTGAAAGCTGCCATGTTTATT